GGAGCTGGAGTCCTGGAGGCAGTTTGTGTCATTCTGGCAACTCCTGCGATATTGTTGGAAACAGTTGTATTGGCTCTTGCCTTTCCATTAGACTATTTCAGCAAAGTGGAGGGGGGGGATTTGCTTCTTGGATAACAAACAGCCTATCCTCCATATTATTTTACCCAGGCACTCCAGCTTCACATACAGTGTAAAAATAACATGGGAAGTAGCATTTACCAGTTATAAGTCTTTGCTCAGTTGGCATAGAGCATGATGGCAGGGGCTACTTGCGATGGTGGGCAGCTACTATCAAAAAAATCCCAGAGAGAGCGCCACTGTTCATTCTCAGGGACTTTAACGTTAGAGTTGGTGCTGATCACAATTCTTGGTCCACTTGTTTAGGCTGTTTTTGCATTGGGGATATGAACGAAAATGGCCAACGCTTGCTGGGGTTTTGCTGTTATTATGGTCTTTGTGTCAGCAACTTGTTCTCTGATACAAAGCTTCAACACAGAGTTTCCTGGAGACATCCAAGATCGAAGCATTGGCATCAGCTCAATTTGATCCTCACTAGATGTTCTAGTCTGCTACAGGCATGATCATCCAGGACCAAGCACAGCAGATGGAACGCTGGTTGCAGCACTACTCTGAGCTATATTCCAGAGAGAATGTAGTAACCGAAGAGGCACTTAATAACATTGAGTGCCTGCCTGTCTTAGAAGAGTTGGACAGTGAACCAACTTTAGCAGAAATAAAAGCGGCTTTGGATTCCCTTGCCTCCAGCAAGGCACCTGGGAAGGATAACATCCCTGCTGAAGTACTGAAGTGCTATTAAGAGATAATCACAACCGAGCTGTATGAAATCTTTTGTCTTTGCTGGAGGGAAGGTGGAATACTACAGGACATGAAGGATGCAAACATCGTCACATTGTATAAGAATAAAGGAGACAGGGGCGACTGCAATAAACTACCGTGGCATCTCTATTCTCAGCATTGTAGGGAAGCTGCTTGCCTGTGTTGTGCTGAAGAGACTCCGGGTGCTTGCAGACAGAGTCTATCCAGAATCACAGTGTGGATTTTGAGCTAATAAATACACCACTGGCATGGTATTTTCCATCAGACAGTTTCAGGAGAAACTCTTTGTGACCTTCATAGATCTTACAAAGGCCTTTGATTTGGTTAGCTGGGACGGCCTTTTTAAAATCCTTCCGAAGATTGGATGTCCACCTCAGGGCACTGTAGTTTTTGATAGCTCAACATCAGATCCCTTTGACATCCAAAGCGGAGTGAAACAGGGCTGTGTCCTTATGCCGACCCTGTTTGGGATCTTTTTTGCTGTCGTGCTGAAGCACACCTTTGGAACTGCAACAGAAGGTGTCTATCTCCAGACGAGATCAGATGGAAAGCTCTTTAATCTCTCTAGACTGAGAGCAGAGACCAAAGTCCAGCTGAAATGCATGCGGGACTTCCTCTTCGCCAATGATGCAGCTGTTGTTAGCCGCTCTGCTGAAGACCTCCAACAACTCATGAATTGTTTTAGCAAGGCTTGCCACGACTTTGGATTAACAATCAGCCCGAAGAAAACACAAGTTATGGGCCATCTCCACACAAGAATTGGAGGTTGTTCATGACTTTGTGTACCTTGGCTCAACAATCTCGGACACTCTCTCCCTAGATGTCGAGCTGGAGAAACGCATTGGCAAAGCAGCTACCATGTTCTCTAGACTCACAAAGAGAGTATGGCTTAATAAGAAGCTGACAGCATATACCAAAATGCAGGTCTATAGAGCCTGTGTCCTGAGCATACTCCTCCTGTACTGCAGTGAGTCCTAGACCCTTTGTGCACGGCAGGAGAGAAAGCTGAACACATTCCATATGCATTTTTGGTATCACCTGGCAGGACAAAGTTCCAAACAGAGTAGTCCTAGAACGAGCTGGAATTTTTAGCATGTGTACATTACTGAAACAGCAATGTCTATGTTGGCTTGGGCATGTCATGAGAATGGCTGATGGTCAGATTCCAAAAGATCTCCTGTATGGAGAATTCATGCAGGGAAATCACCCCAGAGGGAGACCATAGCTGCAATAAAAGGATATCAACAGATGGGAAACACTGACAACTGAGTGCTCAGCCTGGAGGCAAGCAGTGCAGCATGGCCTCTCCCAATTTGAAGAGACCCTTGTTCAGCAGGCAGAGGCAACGAGGCAGATTGTATTTGTCTCCAGTGTGGAAGGGATTGTCACTCTCGAATTGGCCTTCTCAGCCACGCTAGACGCTGTTCCAAGTCCTCTATTCAGAACATGTTACCATAGTCTCTCGAGACTGAAGGATGCCTAATCAATGTATCCATTGCTAGCTAGTGGATACCAAATTCTATCAGTTGTACAACTATTAAAAGTACAGGACACCATCCTCCCAGGTACAGAATATGAATATTTGGAGCACATAATACTTGCCTCAAATATAAGGCAAGCATTATGATCCACGAATCAATCTCTGGCTCAGATTTTAATCAATCTTATTTTAGAGTGTCTCCCCCCCCCCCCCCACAATGTACGGTATATGCATAAAAATNTGCATAGAAATTGAATAAGGCCTGTGCATGCTCATGTGGAAGTAAAAAAAGTCTACATGCTGTGCATCTCACATAGCATGTAGTAGCTCTAAAAAAAGATGTGATAAATTCTTCTGAAGCATATAAAAAGTACCTTATTAACTGTAATAGGCTGCAGATCTGGCCCTTACTTTTCATGCTGTGCTCTGTGTTACAGTCGCTATAATTATGTACGTGCGGTCTGCCTCCTTTCCTCCCTGTCTGCCTGCATGTAGGACCTCTTGTTCTATTTCATTTAATGATGGGTTCAAGGCCTCTTGCTTCCTCCCTTCAGCCCCCTGCCTTGGCTGCAAGTAGGCCTTGTTGTTACCATCAGGGTAATTATGGGTGCTTGGCCTCACTCTCTTCACCTAAGGTGTAATTTACTTTATATAAAATGTGGTCCCACCCCCCCTGAAGCTGCTGCACTCTGGCTGCTTGTGTTGTGTGCAAATTGTTGCTGCTATTCTGAGTGCCAAGCAGGAGCAGGAAGCAGCTCTAAGGAAGAAGGTGGGAAGTTGAACTGGTCTGTGGGTAAAACTGGGGTTGAATAGGACAGAGGAAAGGGATGTGTCCCTCTGGAGTCTTAGTGGGTGTTTAGGTCACTAATTTCAGTGAATCCAAGATTTCATCTTGGGTCACGTTTCAACAAAGTGAAGTTCATTGGCTTCATCTAGTCCTTTCTCATCATAGCACCTTCCCTTGTGCACAGGTCAAAGCTGTGGAAGTATCTCTGGCAAGGGCTATACAGTTCCTCCCAGGGTACAGTTGAGATACCTGTGGTGATCCTTGCTGACACTGTGTACCAGTATGGGTGAAATATCTTGCATTTTTGTGGCCTCCAAGAAGTAGAAGTGCTGAGACTACCATCCATGGGGAAACCCGCATGTGTAGATGTGCTTGCTCCCTATATTTCTGTATATATATGTGTGTGTGTGTGTGCAAGAGGATAATCACTGGAATGATTTGCAATGCGTAACAAGCAAGTTGCATCAGTTTACTGGAAAACAACTCCTTCTGGAGGTAGCCTCTTAGATGCAGGTGATTTCTCTTCACTAGGCAAAGTTGTACACACCTCAGATTAGGTTTGCAGCCATATTTCTGGCTGAGATCACAACACAATTCATTAAGTGCCACTTTTTTCAACACAGTGGCAGGGATAGGGAAATGCATTGCATGCTAGAGTGGAAAGGGACTATGTTAATTGGGATTTGCATATGACAGAATTAAATTCTGAGTGTCAGAATTGACAGTCTGTGACATATCAGTCTAATGTTTCTATTTAGCTTAGAGTTTCTTGCTCTTTTGTTATCTGTACCAGAATTGTGAGTGAACAGCAGATTGCTGGGGAGTTAAATCTGATCTACTTATTTATTGCAGGTAATAATGTCTATATTAATATCAATATAGATTAGAAAGGTATTTATCTAATTTAAATATTCTCTTTCTTGAATAATGCTTAACATACAGTGGAAACATTTTTCTGTCCTTTTCACTGGGATAGTTAAAATATTTACTATTTTGTCTTAGTTTTTGATACATCACAATTCTGTGGCCCGTCCAAACATGCTCGCCGTATTTAGGTTTACAGTACATCACAATTCTGTGGCCCAGTCCAAACATGCTCGCCGTATTTAGGTTTATTGTTCAAGATACGCTTGGACTATTTGCCTGTACACACAATTTTCACGTTCTTCCCTCCCTCCCTCCCTCTCTGGGTGGGGGACAACACTGAAACTCAAAACATCCAGTGTTAATTAACCATAGTTTTCTCTTAAGCCTAACTCATGCTACTAGGATTAGAAAAAAAGCAATGATCTTCAGCCACAGTTTGAAACTGATTTAAAAACTAGTAATCATAGTTTCTTAAGTCAGTATTCAATAAATATCCTTTTAAGAGGAGTGCCAAAAAAGAATTTGAAATAAGAGAAATGATTTCCAAGTGTCCTGACCATTTGTACACATGAAAGAAAGCAGGGTGTAACCTTACCCATTATAAATTCTGGAGAAATTAGAAAATTATGGTTAATTGTCCCAAGAAGTACCATACTGAGTTATGGTGGACCAACAAGGGAAGGGGTGGAGCAAGGATGAGGACTAAGGGCAGAAAGTTCAAATATGTTTTACTTTAATAAGCCAAGACATTTTGCTCTGAACTAACATCCTGTTATGGAAGTGTCACTGTGTGTTCATATGGATGGGAAACAGCCATGCTGGCTGGGGGATTCTGGGAGTTACAGTCTAACTCTTCCAATCTCTGATATGTGATCTATATGGCCCTTTACTTTTTATAATATTCATTCTTTTATGTATTGAGTGCATGTCCTGAAGATAGCTATCTGCTCTCTAATGCCTAGGTACCAGGTAAACCTCCAGCCTCAAGGATAAACCAGTACTAATGTCAAAACTTGCCATTTCTTTCAGGTCAAGATACAAATGTGCACCCCTCCTCCATGCCGAATTCAGCGATAGCACCAACAACTACAGACAGTCCAGCCTCAGCTTCTGTTTCTCAAAATCATACCACGGGTGTAAAGGAGGAAAACCCACCCAGGGAACATTCAGCATCTCACAGATCCCTGGTGAATGGAACAGCCTCTGCCAAAGCAAAATCTGGTGACAACTGCCTAGTAGGAACAGAAACTGTGACACGTAGGTTTTGCCTTCCTGTATCTCTCAAATCTCTCTCTCTCTCTCATGTATTTATCTTTCTTTCTTCCTTGCACATTCATACCTAAAAAGTGCTAACTAGAGATGGGCACAAATAAAAAACAAAACACCAAATTCATTTTAAAAATTGCTAATTTGTTGATTTGTATTCACACAAATCAATGCTCTGATGAATACAGATCAATGATCGTTTACTGATTTTTGATTTGTCAAATTGTTTGGCTATATGATGGCCTCCCAGGAACCTAGAGACACACACCAAGTTTAGCGAAGACTGGGTTTCAGATTTTAAAGTTATACACCCACAAAGAGCCCCCCCCAGAGATTTGTCTCTGTGGCCCGGTTCTGCCAAGGCCATGACCCAGTACTGAGCTGCGGACTGGGTGTTGGGGACTCCAGTTGTAGAGGATGGTCAGCAGAAGCTTCTCTGTGATTTTTGGTTTCACTAGGTCCCCGAGAGGAACTTTCCTGGGGGAGGCCTCCTTGTGGGTGTAGAACTCAGAAGTCCAAACCCCAAACTTCACCAAATTTTCAAGATTTGTAGAGGAGAGTTAGGGGAAGCTTCCCTGTGAATTTGGTGTCTCTAGATGCTTTATAAGATTTTAAAGTAAAAACAAATTAACAAATTGATTCATTGATTTATCAGGAATTTTTTTTTGAAATTTGTAATTTGTGATTCATCCAACCTCGATGGATCATGAATAAATGCGGGAAACTGTTTGAAGGGGAATTGCTCCAAAAATAAGGTCTTCATACATCTTCAAGATCAAGTTTTTTCAAAGAGCCACTGCTAGTATGTCCAATGGTGGGTGTGTCTCTTGAAATAAAACACATCACATATCAGTTTTCTTCTAAGATGCTACCCCTGAAGGAATGTCTGGACGTTCACTAAAGACGTTGTGTGCATTTTTTCCCCTCCTCCTTTCAGAGTTATTGGTATCAGTGGTTCCTTACAGTAGGTCACTAGATGCTGTTGGACTACAACACCCAGAAGCCACAGCCAATATGGTCAGAGATTCTGGGACTGTAGTTTCAAAACACCGTGGGAACTAATCTGGGAACCAATACATGCAGATCTAATCCACTTAAATTTTCATTAAAATATATCACAGCACATACTCTTCATATATTGACTGAAATCCAGCTGTGCTGCAAATCACTGCTTATTAAAGACTTCCTTTGGCCATTTAAGGGTGCACACAACTTCACTACATTGTGTACAAGTTGTGTGCGCTCCCTAGTCACCGTCAGTCAGTGGTAATTTGTCTCCGGTGATAACATCATCACTGTTGTCTATGAGGAGCTGCACAACGCAGCTGTTGTGTTTTACTTTGTATGCTGCAGACCTTTGAAATGCAAAGCAGTGACTGGAAGCCTGTGACACCGCAGATGTTGTTGAATGGCAGCTTCCAGCATCCCTAACCAATGGCCATTCTGTTTAGGACTGATGGGATTTGGACTCTAAGAAGGTTGGGGGGCATATTTCCCCTATTACAGTTTTAGATCAGAGTGAACTATTTCAGTGAGTTTGGGAGCCAGTTTTCTGCTCATAGAATGCTCTGAGGACCTCACAGACCCCTGAAAATGAAGGGGGCTCAGGGTAGTCTGATTATGTGTATATTTGTATATTTAGGTACCACTTGTCTTGACAGCTAGGATTGACCAAGGCTCCAAATTCAGCAGTTTATTATTGTGCATTCTGTGAAAATCTTCTACAAGTCATTATATTTCTCTAGGAATTCTGCATGCGATCACATACCACTCATTTCCACTTGCCACAGACAATATCCCTCCTATTTGTTAATTTTGAAACTTATCCCAGCATGTAAGAATGCCTGATTTTTGTCTCATGGTTGCTGAACCCTTTTTAATTTACTTCAACCTATGATTCACTCTTCAGTATGTAGAACAAGAAGAGAGTGAAGGAAATTCTTAAACTATGCTGAAATCCTGAATTATTTGAGAATAATTGATTGGCCAAACAACTCATGCATTCCCCCAAGAGTCTCACCGTTTGTGCTGATTGTAAGTGACAACAGATGGAGTCTGCAGTTCCAGGCTTTTAAGCCAGGGATGGCATATAGTGTGTATTAATAAAAAAAAAATAACCATCAGATGTTGTTGTCTTAAAGGGTGAGCTAGGTTTCTGAAATAAAATTGTCCTATGTTTAATTATTCTGAAAATTATGCCAATAAAGGTCTTGAGAAACAGATGTCGGTGGCTATAAAGTAGTGTGTCCTAAGGGCCTACCTAAAAGCCAAACTACACATGTAAAGGTTGCCCATTACATGCACTTACATATAATCTACCTTTACACGTACAGGTAGTTTATATGTAAGTGTGTGTAATGGAAGCTTTCAGATGGAGTGCAATTTGGAACATAGAAATAGGGGCTACAAAAAGGTTGCCATAGTTGTTCTCCTCAGAACTTGGGAAAATACTTTTTAAAATTACAATTCCTATACTTTACTCAGGATAGCTAGTGGCCATGTCCACTATGGAATTCTGGATAATATAATAAGGAAAGGTACTTTTCCAAAATTTTCTCATACTTCCATGGTCTCACTAGTCCCTTCTCAAAGGCTTTCCCCCTAGTAACAACTGAATTGAACCAATGAACAAATTTCCCCAAGTTAAGACATCACGCTCTAAGAACAGTAAATCCTTCCAGTTACAAAAAAAGGCCTTTCAACTCCAAAGACACCGAAATTATTTTACCTACTGGTAAAAAGAAGAATAGAAGAACTTTCGTTGTGATATATAGATTGCCACTAGGGCAGACAGATACAGTATATAGAACAAAAGGTGACTGGAGCAAACCATACTAGAAATGCCGTCACAGTAAGACCACATGTTTCTTTCCTGTGAGCATCTGGTGCTGGGCTGCTTGCCTGTTGACATTCTACACCTATGAGTCACATTCTGCAGTCATGCTGCACCCTCTGAGGAAAGAAAGCTTTTAGCAGCTCCCAGATGTTGCATTACCCACCACCTCTCTGCTGTAGGGCTCTCTCTC